ATATTAAACAATGATAAATCAAATAATAAAAACAAAAAATTTAACTCCCAGACAGTAACTAATACAAATTAAACAATTTCATATTTCTTTAGCAATTTTTTCTTGATTATTTTCTTAAAGTAATTAACTGATCCAATGCTCTTATAGTCATCCTCCAGATTATTCCACAGTCTTATGCCTTTTACAGAAGTGCATCTGTCCTTCAAATATTTTCTGATTTTCGGTTTAACAAACATTTCTAATCCCTTCAAATTATAGCAGCTTTCCCTCTTAACAAAATGTGATTGGATGTTTGACGGCAACATATTTCTATGAGCCTTATACATAACCTGCAGAATGCTATACTCAACCAACTCATGAAATTTTAACAATTTTAATTGATGAAACAATACATTGGAAGGGTGATAGTAATGTTTTCTTGTAATAATTCGTATGGCTCTTTTTCATTGGCCAATTTGATTAAAAGTAATAATGTGACAGAAATACTCATTTAAATTAGGTCTAAATAAAAAGAGACGTTTTCATATGTATTTGCCCCCTTTTCTTTGAAGACCCAAACATCACCATCAGAATCCCACACTTAGTTAAATAAGATCCCCGTTAGACAATTTATATGTCAAATGAATCAACATCAGTTCCTCTTAAGCTACCAACTAAGCAAGGAGCAGCATGAAGACCAAAACTGTTCTAAACGTTGTATGTCCTACAGAGCGCTTGAAGAGATCAACACCAGGTCTGGTGCAAACCTCCCATCTCTCAGCATGGTGAGAACTCCATCCCACAGTGAAGCATGATGGTGGCAGCATCATGCTGCGGGGTTACTTTTCAGATTGCTCCAACTTGAATGAATCAGTGAATCAGAGTGTAAAATATAGAGAAAGGTCTGAGAAAAACCTGTTTGAGTCCACCAGAGATTTGAGATGAGATGTTGAGGTTCAGCTTCAGGCAGGACAACGACCCTGAACACTCTACTGAAGCAACACTCCAGTGGTGACAAAGTGCAACTTCCTGGAATGGTTCCGTCAAAGCCAGTCCAACTGAGAATCTCTGTTTAAAATATTGCTGAATACAAGTGGTACCAGTCCAACTTAAAGAACCCTGAACAGTTTTTTTTTAAACAAATGAGCTAAAATTAAAGTTACTACCAAGAGACTCACACCAATAGATTTGCAGCAGGGATTGCTGCATCATGTGGATCTTTTTACTGTAATCATAATAAACAACATCATCATTTAAAAAGATAGGTATAACCATCTGATTTAGGAGCTATAGGCACTGTTGACCTTTTAGCACTTCTCCTGATTTGTTTCCATATCTGCCTCTCCAGTGATGAAGCCATTGATTGTTGAAGACAAGTATCTTCTCTGCCCTGCACCTGTGCTTGAGGACGAGGGAATGTGAGTCCTTCCAATTCTTTCAAATACCATTTTGTTCTTCCAAAGAACCACTTACTGTAAATGACAGCTGGGACATACAGTATGTTTTTTTTTCTTTTTTCTCCTCCAGGGCTGCAAATCTTTACGTCAGCATGAACGAGGGTCTCAGTTTCATCTCCAGTTCTGTCACCATCACCACCGTGAGCTGTGTGAGTTCAAGCGAAACAGCACTTGAGGGTTTTTTTTCTCCAACTATGAGCAACTAATGACAGAGTTAAAAGCAGAAGCCTGAACAACACAATCCATATGTCAGGTCTTCACTGCATTTCTGCAGCATTAAAGTCTTACAGTGTTCGTCTCAGGATGAAGCTAAAAGAGCTTCAGTTCAAAGCTTTAGGCTGACAGACTTGGAGCTGATTCAGCTCTGTCTGAGTTGATGAATGTGTCTGTGTTACAGTCTGATGGGACCATCCTGGTCATAGCTTTGCTCATCCTCATGTTGCTCCTGATTCTGGCTCTCCTCTGGTGGTTCTGGCCCCTCTGCTGCACTGTGGTGAGGAACTCGTTTTTTGTCCTCTGTTTTTTTCTCCTTTTTCCTTCTAAGGTCTAAAGAAGCCCACCAGTAAAAAGTCACATAGGTTTTCCATGGTATTTTTAGGAAAGAGGTGGGAAAATAAACAAATTAGCAATATTTTTTCACATTGAGTATGTTCTGGTTTCTAAAAATATCTTAAATAAATACACTATACATTTCACATCCCTCATCAGATTTATGGATACAAATTTAGAAGGAAGTATTTCATTTTCCCACACTAATTTTCCTAAAGCACACACTGCTCTTCAACCCATTTAAGATGGTCTTATAGAAACACATACACTTTTAGGGTGGAAAATGCTGCCTAAAAACTGTAAAAATCTTTTTTTTTTTTACTTACAAGACATCTTCTAGTGAAACAGCAAAAGGTCGAGTTCAGTGAGTCCATAAAGATCCTTGAAGCTGAAGTCAGTCCTCATCCAGACGAGATCCGATCGGTCAACAACTAAACAGGTGTTTAGATTATTATGCAGCTGCTGAAATCATTTGGGTTTCCCAAAGGTCACGAGAGGGTGACCTCTAAGTTCTCCTGCCTTCTCTGTCTTCACTAGAAGAGCCAAGACAGTTTTTTCTCTCTTTTTTTTGGTCACATCCCAAAATAATTAGAATTTTCAGCTGGTGATGTGGAAATAAAAACACAGAAACCTTTTAGGTTCATCACTTTCTAACAAGATTTCTAGAGGAGTGATGACTGTCCAGAAATTCTAAAGCATGTCTTTAGATAAATAAATAAATAAATAAATAAATAAATAAATAAATAAATAAATAAATGCCATCTGCTCTGGATTAAGTCAATCACATTCTTTGGGGAAAATTTGTTTGCCATTATTTAGATAGAGCTCAATTTGCCAGGATTGCAATTATTTTAAGAAAAAAAGGGTAAAAACAAAACAAAACAAACAAAAAAAAATATAAAGATTTTTATTTGAAGCCCACTGTCAAAGTCTTCTTTAAAATTCGCTCCAGTGTTTCCAGTGTTGGCAGCAGGAGAGTTAGGGACTGCCAACGAAAGATGTCAGTTTTTACAGCACAACTTTCTCTCCCCGTTCACTTCTCCTGTCCTTGTCCATTTACCCAAACCCTGTGCAGCAAGAGTCTGTTTGGAAAAACGATGAAGGGTTACCATGGAGAGGCGCCGTGTGATCCAGGACTGGGAGAGGCCGGCATGGCAAAAATCATAAATAAGAGTCAGATTGATTTAATTGCATTTGCAATAATAAAAGAAAAGAAAAATTGCAGGAAAAAGAAAAGTAACTTGAACTCGTGCTAAAACTTTCTTTTAGTGTCGTGCACTGAAAGTAGAACTAAATGATGCATAATCAAATAAAATAAAGCCAGCCTCGAGATTTGTCCACGAAGAAGAGAAGAAGATGCTGTGTTTGTGAATTCTTCTTTTCCTTCTGATCAGCACCATGGGGCTCCCAAAAAAAAAAAAAAATCTGGATGGCAGGTTTTTAGGTCAGCACACTGCTCGTAAAAAAAATAAATAAAAAACCTAGTGATTAAAAGAAAAAAAACAACAACCCCTCAGTTGTGTGTTTTTGTGTAACCAAATAGAAGACACATTGTTTTGACATGTACATATTTAAGAAATAAGTTTTTTGTCTTATGTCATCCTCTAATTTCCTCTTTTTTTGCTCTGTCTCTCTTTTTCTTTGGCTCCTGCAGATCATCCATGAACCCCCACCCCCACCTGTGGAGGAAAGCTCGGTATGAGCCTCTCGCCGTCTCCCCCTCCTCCTCCTCTCTGCTTCTCATGATGACTGAGAGGAGTGAACGAGTGCTCGTGGTTTAGGAGCTCAGCAGCTGCTGGTGTTTAAGTTGTGTAATGGCTGTGAAACTGCTTGCTTTGACAGTTTAAACCTCAACGACCACGCAGCGTCATTCACTCTCAGCCTGACTCAAAACCCTTTTCGACCCGTTTGGGAATTCATCAAACGTCGTCAAGTTAATTCCCCCTCATAGAGCAATAATGAAATCACAACATTTTTTCAGTTTTTTTGTGTGATCCAGATTTGTATTTATTGTATGAAATGACACCTCCTTGGCTCTTGAGAAATGTAAAAATGTTACTTATTTTGATAGTTTGCCATGAATTTGACAACCACTCACATCTAATGAGAAAACGCACATCAGGATCGAATTTATTCAAGGGTGTGGAACGCGTCGTGCTACATTTATTTTTTAATACGTCAACAGCAAATGAGGTTAAAGGGGACGTTACAGACAAATTTCGAACTCCACCTTTGAGCCAAATGACATAAAAGTGGATTTTGAGTCAGACTGAATTAAAGCGCAGAAAAATCCTTTAGTCCATCCAGAGAGGTTGATTTCCTGTAACAGGACAACCCCAGCTGAGGGGTGGGACAGAGTGGACAGAAAAATACAGTGTTTACTTTGAATGGATTCTCAGGTTTCTAATGAGTTTTATTAGTTGAAAAACATTAGTCAAGTATCAAAAATGTACTTGCTTTTTGTTGCTCTCCTTTAGGATGAAGAAGACTTTGAGGGTCCTAAGAAAAAATGGCCGACTGTGGATGCCTCCTACTACGGAGGGAGAGGAGTGGGGGGGATCAAAAGGATGGAGGTGAGACGTTGCTAAAAATCCCACAATTTAACAAAGCAGTGCTGAGGAACACCTCCAGAAGGTTTTACTTGAAGGGGTGTTCTGTGGTGTTTTTTTCAGTAATCAATATCTTACCTGCAGTAGAAATCACTCAACACGTTATGAGTTTAGAACATCAGACAGAAGGTCTGTCAGAATAAACAGGTTAAGAGTCTGAACAAATATTTGCATCTTTACAGAAAAAGTTTATCACCTGCTGCCATGAAAGATGAGCAGTCATGGAATTCCCTGCGTGTGTTTGCTCTGTTAGCAAAATATCTCACGAACCAGCAAACAGACTAGTTTTGTCACCTCTCAGAAAGTAATCGATGGATTTAAATATACTGATTAACTATTGGCATAAACCCAATTAAAGATGTCTGCCACAGCTAAATGACTCGGTCAATTTTACAATGAGCAGTTTGGTGTGGAAAGAGTCATTCCCAACACAACATTGTAACAAATTGTGTGATAGCTTTGTGTAAAGGTTTAGGATGTAATTGATATGCATTCCTTCAATAAAAGCTATATACTGTAACTTACATAACAAATGAAGGTTTTATTTAGTTTTTGGGTCACCAGGTTTGGTCACTGTGATTATATTGTTGCAAAACAGAATGTATTGGGCAGAACTGATCTATCTATCTATCTATCTATCTATCTATCTATCTATCTATCTATCTATCTATCTATCTATCTATCTATCTATC